CTTCCTTCTGGACCAGCCTGATTTCTGGTGCCGGGAAGCGGACGGGCAGGGGAACTGGAGCGGGACCCTGGCACCGGGACCAACCCATGCCAACCGCAGCGGCAACAGCAGCATCTTCCCCACGCCCGGGCTGCCCACCCCTGCGGGGGGCAACGCCAGCGAGTGCGACTGCCACGAGTGGCACTACCGCATCAGAGCCGGCCTTGTCCAAAACGTCGTCAGCAAGGTGAGAAAGCTGGCTTCCATCAGCCCCCTTCCCCATCTAGCCCTCATGAGCTCTCTGGTCCCTACCCCAACCCCACTTGGCACCCCTTCTTCCCAAGCCAAGGGGAATGAGGTTGACATGATGTAGATCTGTCCGTGGGTGACACGGCCGGGTCAGTCAGGCGCCCAGTGGGTTGCCCTCTCACCAGCAGTAAATCCCGCATCCCCGTAATCCTTTCCCTCCCTGGTTGTCCTGCTGGGTGTCTATCCTGGGAGTTCGTACTGGGATGCTGGTTGTGATGCTGAGCTGCGAAGTTATGTCCTGAAATGGGATCCTCGGTGGCTCTTTGGGATCCCAGCAAGGGCAGCTGTCCCACCATTTCGGGATGCAGGTGTCCATGGGAAAGACAATGCAGGTGAGTGTCACCGGCTAGTGAGGGGAAAGCGTTGTGGAGCAGGCTCCAGTTGTGATATGGCTTGTCTTTGTGTAAGTGTACCAAAGCTGCTGTACAAGCCAAAACAAGAGGTTGATTTGTAGGAAGCTGATGAGGTGGTCACTGTTGGGGGGAAAACCAGATAAAGTTGTGCTAAGTTCTTCCTGTTTTGTACTTAGTCCCTTGATAACTGTTTCACTAGAGCAATAAAAGAAGAAACGTCTCACCCAAGTTGTTGTACTCCAGAGGCAGAAAGCGCATGCTGCTCTGTTTGGTTTCCTAATGTAATGGCTAAGGTGGAAGATTTCTAGTGAGGAGGGCTGCGCCGCTTTCTGCTCTTACTTCATATTTGCTGAGTAGCGCGTGCAAAAAAAACCCGCCTCGCCTTTTCACCTGAAAGCTTTTACAGGGCCCCACAAAAGCCCTGCTGCCTCTGGATAGGCCTCATTGGTATTAACAGGCAGCTGGAGCTCTTGGAAATATAAAATGAAACTGTTACATCAGGAAAGTAGTTCCCTTAATCTCAAGACCCCCCTCTAAGATCAGCAAAAATTACTTTCTGCCCTGGAGCAGTGTTTTGGATTAACTGAGTTTATCTAGTTGGAGAAAGAAATACAGCAGTAATCAGGTGACTGGTGTGATTGTGCTTTGGTTAGCCGGCACGCATTCCTATTAATCATTGAAAATCATTTCAGTTTCTCTGTATGTCCCTGGAAAGCGTGCACAACAGGGGAAAAAAGCAGGTAAAGGAAATCCCTCAAAACCTTGAACCCAGAATGGATTAATAAAAAGCAACCCTGCTACACTCCTTCCATGAGAAAAACATGGGCACATGGTGGACTTGAATGGTGTGTGATGTAGAAGTGCGTAATGAGATTTGACATTTAAGAGAAGCAGATTTTCTTCTGCTTATAGCCAGAGCCTGAGCTATTTGTATGTTTTAGGGTTTAACAGTGATCCTTAAGCATGGGGGAAAAAAATGATCTTGAAATATTTCTTTTTGGTGTAAACTGTAAAAAAAATTTTTTTGAGATGTTTGAACCTTTTGAACTTCATCATCAAATTGGCCACGAAAGGTTGGGGAGAGTGAGTTTGGTATCTTGCATGCTTCTTTAAAAATAATTTTAAAAAGTGGTTTTTGGAAGAACTTGCAGTAAAGGGCACATCAGTTTTAAGGGATAAATAAGCAGCTGTGGTTCCTGCTGTCTTGTTTTCTATTAGAAAGAATAATAATAATCTCTTGAGACTACGGGTTTTTCCAGCGTGGAGTTTTTATTTGTGTTGTATGCTCACTTCCAAAAACTTGGCAGCTTTTTCTCTTTGATTTGTAATCCCCTGTAATTATAATTAGGTTGTTTTCTCAGGGTCAGGATTCCTCCTTAGTTTGTGCTTTCGTTTTGTTGTGGGGGTTTTCTGGGTGGGTGTGCTCTCTGCTTTTATCCTAATGAAGAAAGAGAGGAAAAACCTAGGCAGAACATCAGAGTAGTTTAATTTGGACTTCCATTCTTATAAACCCCCAGGAGCTCTGATACTGTGGGAGCGATTCTCGTAACTGCTGACTGCTCTTCTGTGTGTCACACCGTCCTTTGTGAGAGAGAGCTGGGCTGATGAATTCAGGAGGCTGGATGTTCAGATCTCCCTTAACTCTCCTCAAAAATACATTTGTTTCTGTAATGCAATCTATTTAAATAGAGTTTTATTAAATCTTAGACTAATACACACTCATCAGTGTAGTAGCCAGGGGTTATATTGAAATATCATAAAGAGAGCCAAAAGTATATTAATAAAAAATGCACTTTTGTTTGGCCAGTAAATTCCCTTGTTCTTATCTTCAGTAGTCCAAGCTGATCGCTGCTGGATGCTCCATCGTTGCTCTGTCCTTGGAAATGACAAAACAGTTGCAGTTATTTAGCGCAAAGAACATTTCCTGCTCTGCCTTTCGTTGATGTACGTGTGTGTGAGATGTCACTGCCCCCCATTCCTCGGGAGCAGATAGCTGTCCTTAACTGTGTTAAGTTTCACTGTCTCCGTAGCCTCTCTTCTAATGGCACCCTTCATCAGATGTTGTCTCTCCACCCCTGCTTTCTCAGCTCTTCCTATCCATTTTCTCCCAGCCTGTGTCATGCTTGGACTGATGGAGTGGGGATCTTGCTGTTTCCAGCCCCGCTCTGCGCTTTGCTCAGCCCCGCTTCTCTTTGAGTCTGTGCTGGAGCAGGAGGTGCTATTCTTTGAAGAATAGCATTGCCAGTCTGGGCACTGCTGTTCTCCTGACCTCCTTGACTGAGTCACTGACAACGGTGCTTTTTATAGTGCTGCCAGTCATTAGAACTGGGAATGGTAATAAAGGACATACCGCTTATTATTTAATACTGTTGAAATACATATAGTGAAGAGGTCAGATGTATAATTTAACCACAGAGATTCCAGTGGCTGTATTAAATCACCCATGTGAGCTAATGTCCTGACTTGGTACATAAATCTTGGACTGTAGCTTGGTTTGTACATAAGTATCTTTAGGACAATTTACATGTAAGGCATTTTCACTGCTAAATGCTTCTTTGAGGATTTTTGTCTATGCTTTATCACAACATCACCATTATCACATCACTATAAACAGAGTGGATGTGTACGCTTGTGAGAGAGATATCTTCTTTTGCCTTCAGGCAAAAGGCTATTAAAAAAAAAAAAAGGACAAAAAAACATAACCCCAAACAAAAAAAAAACCAACTGTCTTTTGGTCCATGGTCCATGGATCTTCCCACGGTCTAAACGAAGGATGCTGAGAAATACACTCCCTTTTTGCCATGGGGAAACCTGAGGTCTTATTTTACCCATTTGCAAAGTGATGCTTCAGGTAAGTTGTTAGCATTAATGCAATAAGCACCATGACAACTAAACATACCTAGCCCTGAAGCCTAGCAGGAAGTTCTAGTGTGTACTCAGCAGGGACTTTTCTAACTCCCTCCTTAACTTCTTTAGTGCCTGTGTCTTCTGATGACCTGCAAAGCCAGCCGTAATCTTGGGGCAAAGTTTTCAGAGAAGCTCTTAGTTACAGGATTGATGGTGGTTGTTTTTTCCCTCGGTTACTAGGATAACCTGTCTGCTGCGTTCGATTGCGTTATGTGATGGGATTGTTTGTTCTTCTGCATGCTAATTTGTGTAATGGACACCAAAAGCTGATGATGGGCAAGGACTGAGGCTTGATTAAATTGCAGCGGTTGATGGCACAGCATCCCTCTGTCCGTTCCCACAGCGTTCCAGATTGTTCCACCTCTTGGGGCTGGTGTAGTGGGAAGTGGTTAGCTGAAAGCTATGTTTTAATCACCCAGAGCAATTATGTGATAATATTTCATGTCTAGTCA